TAACACCATATAATCTCAACAAAAAATCGATGTTAAAGGAAATTGCAAATTCATAAAAAGATTTTTCCTTTTGATAGGATCACGACAATTTAGTTCCTTTATCAGTATTACAGAATACTTATGGAGACCATAAAAAAAGAACAAAGAATTAAACTGAAATTTTCTGAGGGAATTTGGAGGATAGACTACAGAAAGTTCAGGACAGAGCCCTGCAGAGAACTAGGTTGCTTCCATAAAGACTTCCATTAACACTTCTGAACACACCTAAAAACCTTTTAGATTTAAATCCCACCTACCTTTAAAGTTAAATAGCCATATTAACACTTAGTGAACCACTATAAACAGAGGAAGTCCAAGGATTTGGAAAGGATTAAAATAATGACTTGGGACCTATTAGTCAATCTCCTTGTCCATAAAAACACATGCATGACAGCAGCAGAAGGAAGCTGAGCATGAGGCATATTTATTTTTAACTTTTATGAACTTGCTGCACTGTTTTGTTGTTCAAATCAAACATCATAAAAGAATAAAAATACTACTTTAAATGAAAGATGTTGTTAGTGGAAGTTGTTGCTTTATAAGGTGTCAAACATCTAATGGCAAAATCTCGGACTGACACTGCTGTCTCCTCCCTTATACTCTTCCAGCCCACTTCCCCACTGAGATTCTTTAGAAATACTGTTTCCTTCAAAGCCACTTTAATAAGGCCTTAAACGAAACACCTGTGTTCAAAAAACCTAGCTTGGATTTGAAATAGATCCTGCTAAGCAGTGCAGAAAATATGAATAAACAGAAATGTTTACATCACCACTTTCCTACGTACAGGTGTTTTGTTTTGTTTTGTTTTTCAAGTCCGAACTCCATTTTGGATGCATACACTCCAGAGATTCACATGCACCCCAAGTTCAGCACCTACTATCAGATGGAATTTGCACCTCCCCCCAAACTCTGTAGAAGTTGAACTCTTCTCACTAATTGTATGGTGAATCTTAAAATCCTGTTCCTTACATTTTCCAAGCAAAGATGAAGTTTGGGTAAGGATCTGGAAAAGTATCATATCCTTCTTAAGTGTTTACCCTTGCAAAAAAGCAAGCTATGATCTTGTAAATTTATCCATCATGTTTGAGATGAATTTTAGCAAAATCTCCTCAAAGTTTTTCTACTGTAAATACAAAAATAATTCCAGCACCTCACTTCTGTGGACTTGGCTTGGCCTGCAAGAGCCTACAGGAGTTTCCACAGTAACGAACGTGCCATATAAAAGCTAGGTGTTATCTACATACTACATGATTCAAAAAAATACAGTTTCAAAGGTAACTTATAGGTGTTAAAGACATTAAACATACCAGCTTCTACATGAAACAGATTGATAACTGACCATATTTGCCTATTATGTCAAACTAAACATATTTTTTCAGTCATCTATATTTACATACGTTCCGATGAGTTTTAATCAACAGACACAAATTTTGGGAATCCACATGTCTATCACATGTCATATCATACTTGTATTAGAAGTATATGCAATGTGCCAAAAATGCCTCCAAAAAAAATAAACTATGCACAGGAGGTTACACAAGAACAGCCTGTTATTCAAAGTCTATACTTCCCTGTTTTCTGCTTGGAGTGTTTTCTCTACAGCTTTATCACTAATACAACCAGAAAGAGTACTGTGAACAGTAATAATTCATTTAAGCAATAATATTTTTTTTCCTGCACTTTCAGTTGGTTAAAAGGAGACTATCCTAAAGGACTAAGAGGAGGCAAAATACACTGTTGAATTATATATGGGCAGAAACATGAGTACTGCAGTACACTGCAATTTCTGAATTGCCTGAACGACTTTTTTATTTGTTTACACTGGAAATATTTTAGACAGATAGACTTTTAGAGCAGATTAAGGATGGAGTTTACAGAGAAGTTCAAAGGAAGACAGCGCCTGAATACTTTGAATTTTAATAACTCTTAGTTACAGAGCTATTAAAAAAAAATCTGTTCTGTAAGGCAAAACTGACATGGAAGATTCTTGTAGCTATGTAACCTCAGTAAACTACAATTTAAAGGACAGTTTTCTGAACATTAACTTTTCACTGACTTTAGGCTTAATCTTATTTTTTTATTTTAAAAATTGAGAAGATATTTACATTCCAGACATCCTGCCAGCAACAAATGGAACACTTTTCCTGTTATGTATATTTTCTATCAACATAGTAAAAGACCAGTGCAATCACTTGAACTCCTTTGATTTTACTGCCAAATGAAATACTACAAAGATTAAACATCACCACAAGCAAACAGAGGATGTCAACAGAGAATTTAAAACTATTTGACACCCAGTACTAGGACATTCAAAATGAAAACCAATATAAGTCATTTAACTATTCTCCTACTTTGTCATGATGCTTATTTGAAAGCCAGTAGGCTTTCTGAAAGAACAGCCTTTTCATAATTATTAAAATATGATTAATGTAAAAAGTGTTCACTAACAAGTTGGATTTTTAAAATAATTGTGCGGAATATCTCTTCCCCATATTTACATACATTCTTTGAAATATATAGTACTGAAAACCAGTTATTAGCTTCACTTTGACAAACAGAATACACTGAAATAACTGAAAAAAAAATACAGAAAAAAAAGTTTTAACTCTAAAATAAATTTAAACTTCGATTTTTTTTTAGATTTTGATCCTCCAATTACAAGACATCACCCAAATGACAGTTACATGCAAACAATACTTCCCTACAGTTTTAGAGTTAGATCTTTAAAAAATTTAGTCATAGTTACTTCTATAGTCAATATGAGTGATAATGTACAGCAAGTTACAAGCAGCAAGCTGAAAAACAGATCCTGGGTTTTCAACTGCTGAGCAATATATGAAGTGGGAAAAAAATCAATAAAAAGAAAAGACAAAATTTAATATCTTCAGAATCCTTTATCTCCTAAGTAAGAATCACTGTAAGTAAGATACCACTTCTCCCCTGAAAAACAGATTGCTAGAACTGGACAGTAAATTCCTTATGACAGGGGTCAGAGTACAAAAGGACTGACTTATGACTCTTGCCAAAAGAAATAAAAAGATTGAAAAATGTGGTAATACCTATAGAAAATATTGAATATTTGGGCTCTATAAGTGAATGAGTGCACCTTTGTAAAGGCAACACAGGAGGTGCAATCACATTCCCAAGAGAATGCTAGCTAGCTCTCACTCTAGAAAGGGAACATCAAAATATAAGGAAGTTACTTGTACATAATATCAAAGATGCCAATTATTTTAATTATATTGTCGATAAAACAAAGCAACAGCATATGTAAATGTGTGATTTAGTCTATTATTATACCTATCCTGTATACCAAATGTTACTGCTGAAAAAATAAGTTTTTCTTAGCTTCCTATGGTCCTTTTTCCTAGAACTAAAATCAACTCTTTTTTTCTGTACATCTCAAAATACCTAGCTTCACTGATGCAAAAGCCAAAACACCCAAATCCTACATTCAAAATTCCACCCAACTAGGTAAGAAAGCTCATCTTAAGGCTTGTCAAAACATTTTTATTATTAGTGTTAGGAGTAAGAATCTGATCTTTCCATCAAATAAATGCAGTGTAGATGTGGCAAGAAAACTAGAACAAATACCTAGTTGACTGGAAATTTTCAAGTTGACAGGGCAACTTTGCTATATAGCACCATCAGAATTTGTTGGAAAAACTAGCTAGCATAAGGACTGAATGCTTGTTGATGTGTTTCCTCAGATGTGTATACATTTTGATAGCCAAAATAATACTGTTCTAAAATGTTTTTCATATTATATTGATGTCATAAGCTTTTTTAGTGCAGAAAGATAAAGAAATTAGTTATCAACCACATGTAAGTAACCATGAGATACAATATTATAAAGAATCTATATGCCCAAAAAAGTATTAAAATTTACCAAAAAAGTATTAAAATTTACCCTGATCTGCTTAGATTTATCAAATTACATTGCCTAGCTCAAAAGATAAGCTTCTCATCAGTTAAGTTCCACACATGTACAGTATATTTGATATCAAACTTAGCTAGAGGCTATACTGAAATATTACACTGATTTGTGCAGAGGAGTTGGCATGATGTACAATGGCCTAAAGCTAGAAGTGGAACCCCACGGGGAATGACGAAACACACTTTTAACAAACGACTGCTGCATTAACAATGGCAATCCAGGATATTTTTCTGTCAGTTAAATTGCTTGCAAGGCCACATGTAATTAATACTATATATTGACTTTCACCACTCTTAAGAAACCTTATCCTTTGGAAAAAGAATAGTTGCTTTCTACACGTACAGTCTGCTCTTTTCTGTTACCAAGCCTTACCTTAGAATAGGTAATTTTATTTTAACAGTTCACCAATCCTAAGTAAAATCACCAAGAACTAACATGCAGCTGTTCACACAAAGAGCAATTTGCTTGGTATTAGTTTTCTTGCCTATTGTATCTGAAAAATTTGTTTCATCTTAACTTTCCAAGTTTAAAAATCTGTATTTAAATAAAGCTAAACACCCTAGGCACACCATGGAAACTTTACGTGCTTTTGTTCTCAAAACTCATGTTCTACACATTTGTGTAGGTTTGGGAAGTTGTAAGTTTTCCAGCTTCTGGAAAGTAATCACGATCTTAGATCAACAAGGGCACAACAGTTCCAATTCCCTGCATCTCTTCAACCCAAGCCTTCTATACACTACACAAACTGTTTATTAATAGAGCATGGGTAAGCAGAAAACACCCTAATAAATCTCCCAAGCCACAGCAATTTAGCCTAACTTCATGTCTCCTGTGATACTCAGAGGATTGGGGCTTAACTTATGAACTCAAGAACTATGTGGTTTCAGAAGACAAAAGGAAAATTTAGATGTTAGAATAAATAAAGATTTATAAAAAGACATTCTTCTACACATTTCTTCTCTACACATGCTGATGTGCCATGACACCTCTATCTCCAATTGACACAGAACATAGTTATACATACCACAGTTTGGTGGTTAACTTGAATCACTTCATCCCCAGCATGGATTTTCTTGCACCGATCTGCAGGTGACTGAATTTAAAATAAAAGAGATGATAAAGAATACAGTTCTTACTGGTCATCATCTCTCTTTCAGCAGTATGATTGCTAAGCTATGTAAATCAGGTTAGATTGATAATTACATTCTACTGTGAAATAAAAAAAAATAAGGAAATATTTAATAAATCCATTCATTGTTGTTGGAGAAAAATAATCTGTACTGTTGTACACAATACAATAAAATGTTAAGAAAGGTATGAATATTTTTTTATTAAAGGGTGACCGAGTCCTAAGAATTTCTTTTTAATTTCATTCTGACAAAAGAGTGCTTTAATCTGCCTGACATTTCTTAAATCTGGAAAGCCAATCTTGGCTCACTTTTTAACCTAGCAAGACAAATTGGCAATTCCTCATAAACAAATCTCACAACATTGTCTTTCTATTCTACAATGTTTCAATACAGGGAACTTCAGTAAATTATTGTTCTTCAAAGAGTACACAAGGAGAGAGGATTAGGTTAGGTACCAGCTAGAAAGATCATAAAAGTTACGTGGTAACTTAGTTTCTGGGTCATTACTAGGGTGAAAGAAACAACCAGCATCAAAATTCTGCAAAGATCACAGTTTCAAAAAGCAATGTAGTTTTCTTCTTTGCCTTTGCCTCAAAAAACCACCCCAACAACAACAAAAAGAATCTAATCAAAAACCCCACCCCTCCCCATAACACCCCCCCAAAACTTTTCTGTCTTCTGCTTTCTATATTTACAGTAGACCAACTGTTTTCTGAGGGAAATACCCTTATGTTTAGAGGACAATAAGTTCCTTCAGCTTTCATAGAATGACAATGCTTTGATTTTTCTCTCAATACTGCAGCAGCCAGCCTATGAAGGCACCTAATCAACTTAAATGTAGAAGGTGAGACTGACAGTTTGAAAAAACCTAAGTTCCTCGGGAGTAGGTTTCTGAAAAGCTGCTATGAATCTTACAGAAAGGAATGAAATTAAATTCATTTTCAGGTGAGATAACAGGCTGTCTAAAGTATATGCTCTAGGCCTGAAATGTGGACTGTTTGTAATAAACTAAATACCACATCTCCATTGAAAATAGATGTCCCATAGCTATGCCATGACTTTCTAGTACAATTCCATGTAATTCATGGCCATAATTAAGGACAGTATTTAAATGGAATATATCCAAGAGAAACATGACGCTGAAAGAAGGGTCACTAATGACTCAGTCCTAGAAGACATTGTTCAGAACATCCTAAATCAACCTGGGCTGGTAAAATTGTAATTTTACTTACATAAAGAACAGCAGCCTTGAATTTTTGGCACTATTTCAGCATTAAAGGTGTTGGCTGAGTGACTTGGGGAAAAGTTTTAACACTGGTAATTATGTTCTAATGATCTATCTTCTGCCTGTCATTTCACTACTCACACTTACTCATTCATACCTCTAACAATCTGTATAATCCTCCTATGTAATACTGGTATTTTAGCTCAGATGTAGTTACACCTAAGACTTTCAAAATGTCAATGCAAGTGAAGCGTGTGTCGACACCCTTGAACTCTACAGGACTGTATTACAATACAAACTTTGTCCTGTATTGACTTCAGCACTTGTGGCTTAAATCTTGACAAAACAGGTATTTTGTGTAGCAGTTTGCTAAGTCAGTAAATATGGTCTGAGAATCTTCAAATTGGAAAAGTCTACTTTAAAAAAAACTCATTGCAATTATGCCTCAAACACACTGCAAGGTGAGGTAAAAATCATTTCTACAGGAGTCTCAAGGCTGTGGTCTTATGAGGAGGTTGCAACTCTTGTTCCTTACTGATTTTTTTCCTCTCAAGTAAAGAATACAGACCTTGCTGTAAAGAAATAGTATCTTTTAACATCACTATTTAAGGAAAACAGAGGAGAATTGATAAGCTCTTTGGTTTTTAGATGTTATGTGCTGATCATTAAGCAAAACACCCATTCAAGAAGTCCTATGAGGAGGAATGAACTATGTCACATCACAGATATATCTTCATTAGCTGGGAATTCGGTTCAACAGGGAGTTGAACAACAGATGTAAGTAACTGTCGCTGAGGATCATACACTGATACTGTACAAGGTATTCAGAATCTGCTCAGGATTTATTCTTCAGAATAGATTTAGTTTTGCTGTTTAGACTAAATATTGTCTTTGTCCCATTACCCCAGTATACCCACACTGTTTGAAAAACCAGTTTAGATCCCGTGGAGCACATTTGTTACATGTCCAGAGTGGAGATTCTGGTGTTATTTCTTCTGAAAGGCCTCTCTTCCCTGAGATCCAAGAACAACCCACAAACTCATCAAGGACACAGTAAGTGGGGACACTGGGAGCATCCCCTCCAAAGTTACATTCCTGATGGAGATGCACTGCATGCTATTACTTTAGAAAATACTCTTTTTTATTGGAAAAACTAATTACAAAATGGCCTCCTTTGAAGAATACATTTGTTTGGTGAACCAAAAGAATCTCTCCAACATGGTCTAAAAGGGCTATTCAACAAGACAGCTGTAATCTCTTCCTGGACTAATACATCCTTTAGATTTGCTACTTCCAAACGAAAGAGAGAAAACATGAACCAGAAAGCTCAGCTTGCCCTAATGCTACAGGACCACCAGAGACAAGCTCTTTTCGGGCAGTGACCTGTGAGGAACGCTGGTCTCTCACAGTTCAAGTTTCATTGCTCAGCTGCTTTGAACTGCAGGGCTGATGTGTTGGGAGAGAGGACTCCTAATGCTGAACAGGAAGATCCTAACTCTAACGGGCTTTGTAGCTGAACATCAAAAATCCACCGTAACTACTATGTTACATTAATGCAGCTAGCACTGCCATGTTACTGTGCTTATTAAAAAGACAAGTGCTTCTCTGTGAACTTTCAGGAAAGTGTCAGACAAAAAGTTGTGCCAATGTCTCACTTGGAGGAGAAGAATTCAAAAGAAAAAGGCCACAAAATTTTGTTCAAAGGGAAGAGAATTTGGATTCTTACTGTTTCCTAGAAGTTAGATTGCATCACATATCAACATCACACATCAGTACCATCGTGACCTTGCTCTGGTCGTGCTGCTTAAATGTTTCTCCTCCCATCTATCAGAATTGTACCTTTTTTTTTAAAGGAAGCAGCTAGCAACTGTGTGTTTAAAAGCAGGAGATACTTTACTTTCCTCTAAGGCGTTACTCATTTTCACAAACACTTTAACATACAACAGGGTTTTCCCTAGATAGCAGACCGCAGTTTCTCAGTCCAGTGTGAGCCCCTCCAGGGTGTTACAGTGAGCGAAAGAATCAGTAACGAAAGCAGAAAAGTCATCATGACTGAAGCTTCCTGACATGGCTTTAGATTATATTCATGAATCACAAAAGATAAGAGTTTTGAGGGAATGCATTAAGATTTTATTTTTATCTTTGCCCCTGGGAAATTAAATTCAATATTAGTAAGTCATGGAGAGAAATGGTTCCCTTTTTTAATCTGACAGAAATTCAACTGTACAAACCATCCTCTTTCTTTCATATGTTTTCAAAATTTAAGCTCAACTATGGCTCTGGTTTTTTTGTTTAGTTCTGTTAATTTCACTGATGGTATCTGTAGCTGCAGGACTGACTCCCTACAATTTTGTTTTCAAGGTTGAAATTTCTTATGTTTTCCTTATTCTGAGACAGGTGGCATTCACAGAAGTTCTACAACACATATTATCTATTGGGTATGACTCCTGCCTGCAGCAGAAGAATAAAAGAAAGAAGAAAGGCCATCAGATTGCAGTTTCTATGAATGGGATGAAAATATTCCTATTTTATTGAGACGTTAACAGAACCTCACTGCAGATCAGAGGCAGAAGCTGTAAATACCATGTAGGTAGTTTGCACTTTCCACAGTATGACACAGTAGCAGGATAAAATAAACATTTCTGACAGCTTCATTTTAAGAAAATGCCACCAAAATCTGTGAAAGGAATTGCCTAAACCATTATGGAACAGTTTAGTGTTGTTCAGTGGCTTGTTTTGTGTTCATTGAAGATAATGGATAGAAGCCTTTCTGCCCAAAATTATAGTTTTGCTCACTTCCTAAGACAGCCAGTTCTCTATATATGGTGTACAAGGAAAGAAGGCTGTATTTCAAAGGCAGTTGATAAGTAGCTTGCTATGCTTTCCTTGCTGTTTAATACCTTCAGTGAGAATTAGTACATGGGTAGTAAGTGTTCCCTTCTATAAGGATTAGTCAAAAGTTCATGCAGAAATATATGGCTATTTGTCAATGTGAAGGGATGTCCTCATTTCCATGTATTGATTTATTACAAAATAAAGCTTGATAGGTGGAAAATATAAAAGCTGTTTATCTAATACTGCAGCAAACTCCAGCATATCAGCTTGTACATAAATACATTTGCCTTTTATTCACAGAGCAAAGTAACTCCAAGACAGCTACTTCCTATCTTGTTCAACTGCAGCATTTTAGGTGTCTTGCAAGACAAATCAAAACCAATTTCCCTGGTACTCAACTGGGAACAGCTCTTTCAATTCTGAGGTAAACAAGCACAAGCACTTCTGCTGTCCAACATGCTATTGGTCCTCAACAGCCAACTAGCACACTTTTGCAAGCAAAATGTAGTCTATAGCAAAGGGAAAGCATAAACCACAGGTAAGGTCAAAAAGGCTTCCAGGCTTCAACATACAGTATCAGCAATACTTACATTTTCTGTTGTTCCAGTAATTACATGGAGACCATCATATGTTGATTTAATGTACATACCCTAAGAAAAAGACATCATGGGAAAGAATTTTTAAAGTGTTTCACAAACCATCACCATCCAAATATAACTTGCATATTTTTAAAAGAGGTCTTTTTTTTTCTTTTTTTTTTCTTTATTTTCTTTTTTTCTTTTTTTTTTTTAAAGATTTGTGTTCTCTTAATATACACCATGAGGAATCTGTCTCTGGATAGGAAAGTGCTTTCTGATACACTTTGAGAACAACAGTCCAAATGATTCTGGCCCTAATTAGCAAAAGCAAACTAAAAATTTTACCACAGTCATCTCCATAAATACTCCCCATTTTTTTAATATACTCCTTCTACTACAAAGATAACAACACTTGATTACAAAAGAACCGAAAATTACAAATTGCCTGAGGATGACCAATACTTCTATTTTGCTTTGGAAGTTACAGAAGACGCTAAAAGACCTGGAATCTCTGGCAGGCAATGCTGCAAACATAACTTTCAAACCGATAAGTGTGCCTGCAACATGGCTCTACAACTTTCTGATAGCCTCATTCATCTCAGCGAACAGGTCAGCTATAAAACTCAATGATGAAAACTTAAATGTCAGCTTTGTTAGCTATCCCACTTCTTCAAAAATATATGGAAAGGGAGGGATAGTTTATGGACAGATACAAGTTCCTGCATGGGAAGTCTAAGAGAGTGTTAAGACTTTTCACCAAGTCAAAATTCAAGCATTTTAACAGCATCCACTAACACAGTGAGAGAACGAAAAAGGAGGGATAACTGGCATACACTGAGAGTTCAACAAGTGAAGAATCTCCTTTCCCCCAAATAGTTCACAGAAAGCAGGTGAATACTGAGCACTTGTGTAAACATTATCTCCATAACCCACTTTTTCTCCTTTTAATCAGAGTGCCACACAGAATTCTGCTCCCGGTTGAGGAACAGGGTGCACCCACTGGTGATTAAGTATAGTAAAGAGGCAAAGAAGATGTATCAGGTTGGACTAATCTAATTTGGGACCAGAACTCACAGACATTTTGGTAGTGGGGACAAGGAAGTACCCCTACTTGAAAAAACACATGATAGCTCCAGTAAAAAAAAAAAAAAAACAAAAAACAAAAACCCAGGAACTTCATGAATTTCTCAGGAGAAAGGGTTCAAAACTAAATTACTATTTTGCTTTGCACAATACACAGCAGTAATGGCATCAAATCCAGTTGTCATGTTGGGCTGTTACAGCTAGAAGAGAACAAAGCAAAAATTTGCTTGTTAAAACACCGATAGGAAACCTCTAGCATCATTCTTCAACTTCCAGCTCCTCTATTCACCCTCAGCAATTTTTCCATTGATTGACTCCATGCACATAGTTTCCTGCTTAGTTCAGTTATCTCAAATATAGAATTGCAATTTCTTATACCTATATCCTCACAACACCCCTGTGAGGTAGGGAAACACTAATATACATACATTTTACAGACAGGATAATGAGCCACACAAGCGTACATTGGTACCTGTTATTTGGTACTCACGACTACCCCAAAACAACAAAAACCAGGGCCTAAATACCTCTCAGGATCTGGATCTAAGTGACCTGACCACACACCCTGCGACACAGCAAGAGCTGAAATCACAGTGACTTCATGGTGACTGGAATTATGAGTCAAGTTGCCACACAGAGCAGTTGCTGAAGGAAGTCATGTCTTTGTTTTTACTGACAGCGAGATACTGCTTTCAACTTAAAACATCAGGGTGAAAGAAGAGGATAAAGTCTCACACCCAATGGTTACACAGTGTTTAGTCTTGTGAAAAACATTATTCTGAAGGATAGTAAGGTCATCCAAGTATGCTATCATGGCAGAGTGCAATTCATGTCTAATCTGGTCTTTTCTAGAAATTTAAAAAACTTTGAAGAGGCAAAAGAGGAGAAAGAATTTTTGCAGAATTTTCTTTAAAGGCTAAGATCAAGATTTTGCATGCATTGGGAGAGGGAAGAGGGAAGCTGCAAAAAAAAAATATTATTTTTATTCCACATGTACAAGATTAATAAATGTTACACTAGTACTATGCCACATTAGTTTTGCAAGAGCCAACATAATTCTGTTTACAAACCAGCTTTTAAATGGGGATAGGGAACACTTTGCAACAGAAAGTTGAGCTCCCTTTCACCCATGTTCCTCCATGCCTTATTTTAAGTGAACAATAAATATGAAATTGTCCAGAGAAGAGAATGTTTCCAGCTTGTTGTTTGATCTGGAAGGGAAATAAGAATACTAGAGACATTTACAGGTTTTCCTCTCTCTGCCTCCTTGCGGCTGCACAATATCAACAGTGCTTTTAGTGATCAAGAACATAAGGGAGTTGAGTGTGCATGCTGTTCATTTGTACTGAAACAAATTGGCAGATACACATCTTAGGAATTCAAAGATAACACTATGGTCCCTATGAATTTACAAGAATCAGTTAGGTCAAATAAAAGGAAAGACAATTCAGTTTATATGATTAAAATAACCATAAGGTAACCATCTAGGAATCAAGTACAAATGTATGCCTAGATTAAAGATCGGGTTAACTCATGCTTACTTATATCATAGATTGTCCTGATCAGTTATGGGTAGAAGTCTAATTTCAAACCATACATTTTATCTTGGTGCAAAACATTATTCAATTAAGGCTTAGGAAAGAGACCTTGTACCTTTTTTCTCTTTTTCCCCCTTCTTTTCTATTGTTTTTAAAGAATGAAAACAGAATGCAATATGCTTTTAAGATATTTTATACAAGGCTGGATAGAAAATAAGACACTGCTTCCATTTTGCAACACACATAACTGAATTTTTACACTTCTACTGTGACATCACCTTAATCGAGTCCCCTAAAGCTGCACATGCCTCTTTAACCCCAAACAGTTCTTAGAACCCTGTTCATAATTTTTTCCCTCCTCCTGCAATATGTCAAGCCAAATAACTCAGGAGAAATATCAGGAACAGTAGTATACTGGATTCCTGGAAAATACTTTCTAGCTAGGCAGCCAGCAGTGCACCTTTAACCAGCTGCCACACTCTTCTGTATCTATGACTTGTACCTTATGAGTGCTTTTTCACATCACAGGCTCATTTTGTGTTTGCTTCAGCAGGCAAAGAGGAACCCAGAACAGTCAGTCTCACGTTCTGGTGGACTCACGTTTGCATTTCTGAATCTAGAAGGCTAGGTGAATAGCTGCTACTTGAAATCACATCAGAGTACCTGAACTCAACAGGATTAAAATAATAATACGAAAAGGAAAAATTGAAACTCAGGATTAATCCTTGCCACCGTTCTCTGATACTCTCTTCTATATTAAAAAAACAAATTAAAAAAAATAGGGACTGTTGAAGAAAAACTTCCCAAGGAAAAATGGTAGCTATAACTTCACAGAATCACAGAATCACAGAATGTTAGAGATTGGAAGGGACCTCGAAAGATCATCTAGTCCAATCCCCCTGCCGGAGCAGGACACCTAGATCAGATCACACAAGAACGCATCCAGGCGGGCTTTGAATGTCTCCAGAGAAGGAGACTCCACAACCTCTCTGGGCAGCCTGTTCCAGTGCTCTGTCACCCTCACTGTAAAGAAGTTTTTCCTCATACTCAAGCGGAACCTCCTATGTTCCAGCTTGAACCCATTGCCCCTTGTCCTATCACTAGATGTCACAGAGAAGAGCCTGGCTCCATCCTCCTGACACTCACCCTTCACGTATTTATAAACATTAATTAGGTCACCCCTCAGTCTCCTCTTTTCCAGGCTAAAGAGACCCAGCTCCCTCAGCCTTTCCTCATAAGGGAGATGCTCCATTCCCTTAATCATCTTTGTGGCTCTGCGCTGGACTCTCTCCAGCAGTTCCCTGTCCCTCTTGAACTGAGGGGCCCAGAACTGGACACAATATTCCAGATGCAGTCTCACCAGGGCAGAGTAGAGGGGGAGGAGAACCTCTCTTGACCTACTGACCACCCCCCTTCTGATACACCCCAGGATGCCATTGGCCTTCCTGGCCACGAGGGCACAGTGCTGGCTCATGGTCATCCTGCTGTCCACCAGGTAACTTGGGTTACCCGCGTTTTGTGTAACAAAAGGCATACAGCATTGTGCTTCTTTACTAAGTATACTCACTGTTTTCAGTCAAGCAGTAGTATTTTTAAGTCTGTGTCCTGGCAAAAGATACTACATAAACTAGTCAGTTTTGTGTCTTTCTAGAACATCAATAGCATAAAAACACACAAAATTAAGTTCTCCTTAATGATACAGATAAAACAACTTCCAAGTCCTCAAAAAAAAAAAGAAAAAAAAGTGATTACTCATGGGAGCATGTTGATGATTGCAAACCTGACCACATAAATCCATTTCAGAGCTTTTTAGAAGAACTTTTTACTCTGACACCTCCCTATTCAGCCTTATTTCACAGAAACTGCAGGCCGTACGTATCTCTTGCTGCAGCAACACTCACTGGAGAACACGTGTATGCAGCCAGTCACATAATCACACCTGGGCAACAGACCAGGGACAGAGGAAACTAAAAAAAAAGGCGAAGTAAAAAGCAGTACTAAAACCCATCCACCCATAACGCTGCTTTACCCAGTACTCAAGAGTTTCCCCACATCACACCCTAACAACATTGTCCGCTTGCCAGGTTATTCAGTATGTCTGATAGCTGTTAACTAGTTTCAATATCTATAAAACATTGTAAACCCTGTAACACAGTTACCTTTTCCTTCTGCATTAAGTAAATTATTAGTCTGACAATTTACATTTACCTCTGACTGATACAATTCCACAAAGAAAAGGCCAAACACAGTGAAGGTACTGAATTTGTGCTGATTAAAACATCCTGACGGTGCTCCAATATATTTTAAGTTGTAAAAACTCCAACCATTTTCTCAATTCCATCTTGTATTTACCATATGAGTTTAGGGAAATAGCATAGTTTTATTTCCTTCTCTTCTCCTTTTTATTTCCCTGATCCACTTCATCTTCTCAGATATTAAATTTGAGACAAGTTAGATATTCTGTTTACGCTAGGTGACAAAAATATCTTCCCAGTTAGCAGCCATCCTTGTCCTTTTTCTTCTACTTGGAGTCTTTCCATCTTTATAGAGGATCTTATTTAGTGATCGGTAGAGTCAGCACAGAACTATCATATTGGTCAAAAGTCTAGAATAAAGTTGACAATAATCCATTTTTCCATCTCCATCGTTGCACAAATCCTGGAAGAAGGTCCAGAAGTTATCAAGCTTCACATTCACCCAAATGCCCCTGATGCACAGAAGATATTCACATCTCCAAGCTTCACCATCAACTCTTAAACTGACACACAGCACTCAACAGGGCGGTACCAATATGCATTTGCTGTATCTTAATTGAAAGACTTAGTTTAAAAAAAACGACCAAACAAAAAGCCCAACAAACAAAAGCAAAGCTTTCATACAGATCATCAAGAGCAACTTGACAAAAATGTTCTGTTAGTAAGACTGGCACTGTAAAACTAAAAGGTATGATATTTACCCTCCTGGTGCAAAAATATCATCCTCAGTTCCTGCTCTGGAGAGCTCACAATCTAGAGGACATAGCACAATACAGAGGCAAGAGAATAGTGGCATACAGGCAAGGATGGAGGGGAAAAAAAGATGACCATATCAAAATAGCGTTGTATCCTTCTAAGGCTTGTCTACTCCACAGTTGGTATTTTCCATTTTTTTAAAAAATACATATAATAATTTTAAAGACAATGACATGGCAGTCCTCAGTCAGCATAAAGACCCTGTCCAGCTGATTCACAAATGCATATTCAAAGAAAAAAACCTGCCTTAAGAGCTTCCAGTTTAAACAGACCAGACAGACAGAGGGTATAAAACAGAGGCACACAGGGGGAAGAGATCGTCTATCTGACAAGCTACCCAGCAGGAACAGACCCACAAAACACATTCTTCTTTACAAAAATACTGCTCAACATTTTTCAGTCACTGGGCGTTAACACCACCATACAGAAAGACATAAATGAAGAAAAAAAAACCAACAGTCACAAGACAGAAAGGAAAATAAAGACTTTCTCAGAAAAAAATTGACCAAACTCCAAAAAAAGGTGGTTGAGAGAAACGGGAAAAACATTTCCTCATTACAGCAGAAGATAGGATTTTGAAAGGTTGACTGCAGTGAGCTGGTGGAAAAGATCAAATTACAGGAGAGAGGAAGGAGAGAATCCATGAAAAACTGAAATCCTGGAGGACTAGTTTGAAATGGATTCAGAGATAAAAAGGAAAGCCAGTGGAGAAAGGGAAAACAAATAGCAGACTAAAACAAAGGATGGGGCAGTATGTACTTATCCAAATGTTTGGTTTTTTCTCATATTTGCCAAAAGACTGGAACAGTAATTTAGTGTATAATTGGTCTAAATACCCTGGCATTCAAAATTTGTTAACGAAACCAAACCCCAAACCTCAACAACAACCAACCTACAAACCAAAATACTATCCAAAACTACACTATCTAAACACCTTAAAAAAATCTGCCGCAAAGAGCACAGCACTAGTTCTTCTTACTCAACAAAATGGAATGAGAATAAACTTGGTCAGAAGTTGCAAAAGCTATTTCATTACGCAAAAAATGGTTAACTGTATTCTGCTCATCTTCTACTACCTCCAATGACTGTGGGAACATACATTACTAGTGGTGTAATGTTGTAGAGCTGTAATTGTTATCAGTGTCGGTTTTCTCCATGCAGTGGGTGTTGTACACTTGAGTAAACAAAAGATCAATGGTCAGCTCTTGAACGTCAAACATGGGATGGCTGCACTGAGCCTTTACGAGCACCTGATAAAGCATGCAGAGTTCTTGCAATGAAATCCAATAAGCTACTTCTCAACAGTGCTGTAGAGCCCTTGAATAACTTAAAAAATAGCTTTATATCCCAGAAATACTATGAAGCATATTCCAGAATTTGACAGGTTTTGTGCATAAGCCCACGCAAACTTTTTGGTTGAGTTGATCTTAGTAATTTATATCCCTTCAGACTTCAATATCCTAGAACAAACTGAACCATTTTTCAGAAGCTGGTATAAATGGCAAGAACTTCGTGCTCATTTCTTCCTGCTCACTAAACTCTTTGCATACACTGGAGAATCTTACAAAATACTTCCCTATTGCCCCAGCAGCATGAGAAACCAAACTAGCATGAGAAATCAAACTATTTTCAGACTTTAAAAAAAAAAAGGCTAAAATGTCCTACTTCTTTCCATATATACAACTTATTTTAAAAAATTCACTTTCTCATCCTGGATGATGAGTTTGATTAACTGCGTACTTCTTACCAGCCCTTCACTTGGCTTGATGTTTGTAAGCTGGATCACTTCAAGGTGAGCAGACTGGGAAACCAGCGGATCAGAAGAGAGCGAGATAATGTGATCACAGACGCCAGAGAGAGTTTTACACTAGGAAGAAAACAAAATGTCACAATAAGCATACCATTGCTAACTATTTGTGTATCAACCTACAATTTAAAGCACTGCATTTTTAAAGTACATATTAAATCACATTGCTGAATCTACAAGGCAGAGGGAATGAATGAGGAGGGGGAAAGGCCTCAGTCGGCAGCACAGTACAAAACCCAATTTTTGTAATGACCCCAAACTGACACAGCATCAGACCAGGGAAGAAAAAGAGGCAAATGGTTTTGCATCTGAGTAGACAGAAAAAGGAACTGCACAAGCAGTTCCCATGCACTATCAGGATTAGGTGCCCTATCTCTGAGCTGTGCCCAGGCACGCATGCAGCACATGACGAGCTCCAACCCCCCCTCTCTGCCCACATCTTTTGCAAAGACATTAAGTGCCCCCAAACCCCACTAATTTCAGTTGTTCAGCACAAATGAAAATCCGGCTCTTAACGATGATGGGTAACTCCCATTAACTCAGAAGTTTATTCTACACTAATAAAACATGCTAATTGACTTTGGACTGAGTTTCATGTTCTAGTGCTGCCAAGTATGATTTACTATTGCAGGCATGAAGATTACAATAAATAACCACTTCATGATGGGATAATTGTTAAACCCATTATCCTTGGCAGCCTCTTCGCTGAAATAGAAAAGTTTCTAAAAAGACTGGGACTGTCAAGCGGGTACCGTGTATCTCCTCACTCTCACTCCCTGAACCCTCTCTTCTCAGAGGCAAGGAGGCTGTGATTTTTTCCTATCATTCTCTTGTATTTCAGTAAGCAAGCATTTTTTGAGAGTTTCAGTGTTTTCCATGGAGTTCCCTTTCAACATCTACAACTGATGCTCGGTTCAGGTTTCCAAATGTTTGTTTTGTCAGCAAATTCAGGGATTAGGACATTCTTCTGGTCCCACAACTGTGGGTACCTCCAAAACCAATTAAGAACCACCTTAACTGCTCTCAGATTCAAAAGATTAAAGCTAATCAGTCTCCTCAAACGACTGAAACACAACTGCACACAACTGCTGCACCAACCACTTTTCCAAGATCACAAAGCATATTTCTTAAAGTAAAAACTATCTAGAACAATGTCATGGTAAAATAATATTAAACTGGACATAACCTCCTACCCAAATCACCATTATAATTCCAGATGCTAAATTACAAAGAACTTATATAAAAAGGAAAGCAAAAAAAAGTGATAAAACCAACAAAAAAATTTAGTGACAATCTTGGTTCCATTATAGACCATTACATTGGGATTTTCTCCTCTTAAATTACAAACAGTTGGAAGATTAGGTTAGTATAAAGATGGTTTACTTCATTGAAAAATAATGTTTCAGAATGAATAAACAAATCAGAATCATATGGCAAATATAACTAAATTTATATTACCAACATAACCTTCTTCCAGAGATAATATTGTCTTCAAGCATAGACGCGCACACACAAAAGCAACTACCCCTTCTGCTTTATCTGTATTTCCTGATGCAGAATCATCTCATTAAAATGAAAATACAGATATGAATACATTTCATGTATTTCATTAATGATGCAGAATCATTACTGAAAAAGGAAGTAAAGAAATACTTAAAATGGGGTTAAGAATGTGAGTTACCCGAGTTAGGAAAAAATGAAAAAGTGATAAAGTAAATTTTTCATAGAATCATAGAATCATAGAATCATAGAATGGCCTGAGTTGAAAAGGACCATAGTGACCATCTAGCTTCAAGCCCCCCACCATATGCAGGGCCGCCAATCACTAAACCAGGCTGCTCAGAGCCACATCCAGCCTGGCCCTGAAAGCCTCA